CAGGTGAATAAAAGTCATCCTGGTTATGACAATGATTATCACATACATTACTACAAATAATTAAAACAATGTCCAACAAATTAAAAGTGTCAATGTAACAACCTGTCATTGGTTTATGGGTATCATACCCTGTGATGCCAATGTACTCTCCATTGTTCTCAGACAAAGAACTTCAAGCACAGAGCTTTATTCACAATGTATGTGCTGAATCTTCATTGGTTCTTCATATAACCATCACAGTGTTTGTAAGAGTTGCAGATTCACTGTAAAGACAATTAAACAAAAGCTACAGAAATCATAAATGTTAGCAAGTTGTTTTAGAAGGAACACAAATTGCAGTTTTTTATTTGTGCTCTTCAGTGATCCATCACTACAGCATTGTGATGTGTTGGGGAAAGCACTGGGATAAGAGTAGGAAGTTGTCATATCATGGACATTTTTATATTTATAAAGTTCTAAATTAGAGGTCTCTTAAATTTTTACCTAACTTTCTCACTAACTTGAAAACTATGATTTCAAAGCAATTAATATAACTAAATGTAAAAACTTGTTATAGGATGTCATTTGTTTCTCAATGTGAGTCTTAAATTGGTAATCTTTTCACTTCATAAGGAAATATTACTGCATTCTGCATATTGGTAGGGTTTTCCATATATTCTTTCACTAAGATTTTTCAATTGCTTTAATTTGCAGTTAATGTATGATGTGTGTACATTTAAACAAAGAACGTTGCATGTTCATGCCATCTTTCTTGTTTAAGTCTCTATTAAAGCTGAGTGTAGCAAGAGGCCAATTTATTTTATCAAACCTTGTTTTATACACTCTACAATATTAAAAGGGAGGGCCCAGAATTCTTCTGCCACCTAGTATTTAAAATACCCTAATGCTGCCTTATTCTTTTCACAACATTCAGGTGATTGTTACTGCACAGCAGCAAAATTTCAGATAAATACTGATTTCTCAGATGCATCTAACTATATGACCAATTCATGCTAATCACACACACACACACACACACACACACACACACACACACACGTCCCTTCTCTTGGTAGAATTACCTTTATAAAAAGGTAATTTGATTTAAACAATAGCATAGTAATCAAGCATTAAAATGACCATACAATTTTAAAAACAGCTTTACTCACCTCACTCCCCATTTAAAGTATAGACTACTTTTATAAAGCAGTAGGAAAACAATACAATACATTCAGAACTCGTCCTCTCCTCCCTCCACTCCTTCCAGCCCCACACTCCTCCCCTCTCCCCCGAGCCACTGCTCAACCATTTCACAGGCCTCCCAGGGATATCAACTGAACATGTCATAATGAGATTTGACTTATTTTTGGAAAAGATATTTCAATTGTTGTTTGTTTCTCATTAGTGAAAATATATATATATATATATATATATATAGAGAGAGAGAGAGAGAGAGAGAACGAGTGTTCATAACAAATTAAAAGTTTATGTTGGATTTTTATTCTTTATAATTGTTATTATAAACCATTCTTAAATAGTCAGCCTGTTGAGATACTTACAAGCCAATGTTTCTCAAGGTCTTTTACCTAAAATCAAACATTTTAACTGTAACATTAAAGATTAAAGCACTCACTCTTACTTTAATAGATTCAGATACACTTTCATTCTCCTTCAAATAATTACTGACTTTCCATTTAATTTAGTTTTTCTTCTGCTTCATATGTGTCTTTCTCTACCTTAAATAACCCCAGGATGTTTTCCTAGAAATGCAGTCAACCATCTGAAAGTAATTTTTGCGTCTGGTATGTGAGGAGTTTGATGGGTTTATATAGCAAGCTTATAGCCTAATCATTCCTTACTCTACTCGTTTTCATCAAACTATTGGCTAAAATATTTAGAACAGATGTGTATATATGTAACTTTCAGACTCCAGAAAAAACTTTCCTAATGATTTGTTCATGGAGGGAGAGAAGGGGGAATGATAAAGTTGGAAAAGGAAGCAGATCATTCGTGTTCCAACAGACATGCTACCCATGGAAGTGTTTTTAGAAGATAAATCAGGAAATAGGACCTGTAGTTCTTACTAACTACCCAACAGCTTTATAAAGCTCTTTGACCTTTTTTTTTTTTTCACATGGAGTGGTTCAGAGCACTTCTGCTCTTCTAGAGGACCTGAGCTCAGTCCCAGCACCAATGTAGAATGCTCACTACCACCTGTATCTCAAGTTCCAGAAGGTCCAACACCCTCTTCGAACCTCCACAGGTTCTCACATGACAGGCTCTCACACAGACACATAAATAAAACATCTTTTAAAATGTTTCAAATGAAGTAGGTGGGCTGGAGTGATATACTATCTTGGATGGAAGAGAAAGACAGGAAAGGAATAAAACTATGAAACTACAAAAACTAAGATGTGATTTAGACCCTTGTTCCAATGCATGAAGGAAACCCTTAGGCTTTGTTTTTTTTAACAAGCTGTTTAAATGTACAAAGCAGTTGTTGCATTTAAGGTACTATTCAGATTATGTGGACACCACAAGTAAAGACAAGTACACCACACCCGAGAAGTTTGTTTTCTCCTATGGATTTATATTAATTCCCCTAAAAGGAAGATATAAATTGCACAACTAAATCAATACTTATTAGAACAAAATTGGTGTATCATGAAGACCCAGGAGAAAAAATGAACAAGGATTAGGTCACAGAAAGTCATGGCAATGAAAGGTCAAGTAACATATAAAAGCATTCTTGTATTTCTAATGTCACCTAATAAAAACATTTATAAGCAATTGTGTACACTAGTATTAAAAAGCAATTACCTCTTTAAATGGTAATTTTTTCCTTCATATACCACCCAAGTACTGGAATTACAGACATGAGATTACACAATGTACAGTTTTTAAATTTTTTATTAATTTATTTTTTATATTCCATTAAGTAGTATTTTGTATCAAATACAGTAAATAATTTAGATACATCATTCTAAAGTACATTATAGTTATCTATAGTCTTACCTATTAATTGTAACCCCCCAAAATGAGGGTTATAGTTAATAGTAAGTGAATAATCCTTATTTATTAGATCCTTTGCTTTTCAAAAGATGTTTTGGTGATATGTAAATGTGCTATAAGCTACTGTAGTTTTGGTGTGCATGCTAAAGTGGAATATATATTTAAAACTAAACTCTAAAAGAGTAAGTTGTGGGTATTTCAAAAAATGTAGCACTTACAAAATTGAGAATTTGGGGAACTAATCCATAAAACAATGGAATAGGAAGTTTTTAAAGGCTTCTCCTCACATGTTAACCCTACCCTTGATGGGCAGAATATATTGAACTATATTATCTCACTCATTCATTCTGTGTAAAAAGGAGCAGAGATAAATTACATAAGAATGTTAAAATCATAAGTGGCCATTGCAGTTGCACACCTTGAAAAGATTAAATAATACCACACTGTTGTCTCCTTAATTTATCATGTCTAGTTTATGCTCAGACTTTAAAACAATGTAGCAAATTGTACTAAAGAAATTATATCTGTTCAGATAATTCAAAGGCAGAGAGTTGGTAGATTTTTCTTAAAACTAGAAATAAAATCTCCCACAACTGCTCCTAATTTTTTTTGGCTGGCAAATAAAAGAAATACATGAAAATAAAGGGTGATTTTTGGGGATGCAGAAGAAGGGGGCAGGAAGATAAGAGTAAGGGACAGTAAATATGATCTAAATATACTATCTACATGTGTAGAAATAGAATGGAACCTCTTAGTTTTTATAATTAATACATGCTAATTAACTGACAAATCAAATTTAATTCATGCAGTGAAGAGAGGAAAGAGGGTAACTGAAAGATTAAAAGAGAAAGGATTGCTGAATTTGCAGTTCTATATGAAATATATTAGAAATACATAAAGTGATACTTTGATAGTGGTGAATGCCGTCCAAAATTATTTCACAACTGGTATTCATATGCCTTGATTTGAATCCTAATATTAGGCATTTACCAGATGTGTTTCCTTGAACACATTACCTAACAGGTCTCAGTTTCCTCATGGCAAAAGTGTAAATTGTAATAAGCATGAGGATTTAATGATCTAGTATTTATAAAACTCTTAGAAAGTGCATGGTATAGTTAGTGAGTATATGTACTTTTATTGTTAGCATTTTTATGATCCGAGCCTGTTTTCTGGTTTTCATTGATTCAGAATTTATGTGAAACTATTGCGTCTTATCAGATGTATCTTTTTTAAACTTTTTGGTAATTTGATTTTCATTGGCTATTCTGTGCTTCAGGAAATTTAAGTTGAACAAAATAGTTGGTTACTGCTCTACTAAGGGTGTTATATTTAAAGTCTTTGCTATGACTGCTGCTTGCTAAATTAAAGTCATGTTCATTGAGACTAAAGACCCAGAAGGAAAATGGACAAAGAAGTGAATACTTGATTCTGTAAACTACACATGCTTATTATATCAAAATATGAACATCTAGGTTTAAGTATAGGTAGTGAAACAGAATCCCCATATTGGTAACACATGGTAGTATCCAAATGCTTGGTGCTATGATTTAGTTAGTTGTGATAATATACCAGAAACAGTAGGTTAATTTCCTAAAAGTAAGGTTAAATGCAAAACCCTGTTACTTTAGAAGTGAATAGTAAAGACATAGATTCACAGGCATTAGGGAGTAAGACTGAAATCCATTACTAAAAATGAAAAGAAATATGGAAACTGTGATCTTCTTTGTAAAATGTTGTATACCCTTAATATCCAGGACTCCAAAGAGAACAAACATGCGGTATTCTTTATTACCTATAAAAAGTAATTTAAAGTAGTATTATCTGGACAGTTCTTAGAGGCAGTTTCACCTTCTGGCTCAAAACACACATATCCTTCATCCACACGTGCCAACCATAACGTTGCATATGAGAGTGTGTTTTGTATACTCTAGCTGAAAATCAGTATAAGTATAAGCCTACCTGGGGAAGAAAACCAATGTGATGTGAACTTTGTTCTCTGTGTTTAGGCAAGCTACGACCTATATCTATGCCAGTCGAATATAATTGGGTGGGGGACTATGAAGATCCAAATAAGATGAAGAGAGATAGTAGAAGAGGTAAGTGTTCTAGAATTTCAGTGTAGGCTGGGTTATTTTAACAATAAGCAAAATTAAATGTTCTTTAAATAGATTATTATGGCTTCAGCAGAAACTTACTCCATCATTGACTGACAGTACAACTGAGTGAAGTCAGACCAATATTCGACTGTCTTGACCCATTAGTAATAGGTATCTTATATGAATGCCTTCTAAGAGATTCTAGGCAGATGATTACACAGAGAAAGATGAATATGTTTGTAAACTGAAAGGTAATATTTTGAAAACAAGGTCAGAAGTGTGAAACTGCATAAAAGAATTCATTTCAGTTCAATAAATAGAAACAGTTTTGTCTTCAGTCCCAATTAATCAGCAGTGCATCTCACTTCATTCATGAAACCTCATATGATAAAACCTCGTAATGAGCACTGAAGCACATAGGTTTAAAACAAATGTAGAATGGAAACTGGGCCAGTGATTCTTTACGAAAACCATATAAAAATGGGGGAACCGGTACTTTGTGCTTTTTCTGTTGTTTGCTATTCAGCGTTATTCTTTTACATGGGAGTGGGCTACTTTTGAATTATGTACGCAAAGTTTTTATATTCACGTAGCCTGCTGCTGATGTGAGCAGTAAGGAGCAAGAGAAACCTTCACAGCTTAGTAGACTTTAACCAAGTATGGATATGATGGGCCCAGCTTCAGAAGGAGAGAGCCACAAATTGTAGATGGACAACAAAAACCAGAACTGTTCTAGAAACTAAGCTTCCTTTATGGTATAGTTGACCTGTTTACTTATTATTTCTATCCAGTAAACTCTAAAACATCCACAGACCGCATGGACAAGCAAGTATAAAGGTCTGCTTCATAAGTCTCCTTAACCCTTGTTTTGAGGAGTGAGCATTTCAAAATGTTAAGAAGTTCAAGGGCACTATCAGATTCCGTCATATACATGTATTAATTCTATTTTCCAAGCTTCTATATCTAATCTCATTATTTTTATTGTATAAATCAAGAAAAAATTTAAAATGTGTATCATAGGCCATCTCTAAGATATTCTTTGGGACGTCTTGTAATAGTGATACCCTGTAGGAAATTGTTATATTAGCCACTAAGTGCTGACTACTAATTTAAGGAAAGATTCTATAAACTAAGTTCATAACATGGGCTTTAACTTCTCCAAGAACATTATGTAAAATATTGGAGGCTATTGTTTGTCATCAAGGTTTAGGAGAATTTTCCTGTGGAACTTGCTACAAATTGTAAGTTCCACCCATACAGAGCTTAAAATTTAAGTTCTGCAGGTGATTTTGATGTGGTTACCCCAGAATTAAAACCAGGAGAAATAATACAAAGGCTATATATATCTTGTTGCCTTATAATACCAAATAATTAAGTCCTACTGTGTTGTCACTACATATATCGTAAGTTAAATCAAGTTAAAGTAATGAAATAAAAATCTTATAGCAAAATTTGGAAAGAAAGGTACATTTCAGATATTTGCATATTTATATCACTGTATTTCTCTTTTTATGTAGAAAACTCTCTTCTTCGATATATGAGCAATGAAAAAATTGCTCAAGAAGAATACATGTTTCAGAGAAACAGCAAAAAGGACACAGGAAAGAAGTCAAAAAAGAAGGGTGATAAGAGTAATAGCCCAACTCACTACTCATTGCTGCCTAGTTTGCAAATGGATGCATTGAGACAAGACATCATGGGCACACCAGTGCCGGAAACCACACTGTATCATGTAAGTAAACTCAAAAACTTTCATACAGTCTTTCTTGGAAGGCAAATTACTTTTGTTGATGAAGTCCAGATTTTTTTTTCCCTTTGCAAGATTTTTATAAAAGGCTATCATTAGAAATTGACCTTAAAATTATTGAGGATTGATTTGTTTTGCAGCTCATATGATCAATGCATTCCTATTTTGTAGCAACCTTAATTTTAGTGAAATAACTTAATAGGTGAAATATTGACAGAGAATAGTAATTAGGTAATTACTAATTTGTATGTTAATGCATAGTACTTGGGCAGCTCCAGAAATCTAGATTAGAGATAGAATGTTGAATGTTTCATGCTTCTACTTAAAAAGGGACATCCACTATGTGCTATTAAAAATGGGAAGATGCAGCACACTTTTGGGCTGGGGAGATGCTCCAGTTGGAAATGTGTTTGCTGCACAGGTGTGAGGACTGAGTTCAGATTTTCAGCACACAGGTAAAGTTAGGCATAGTGACATTTGTAATCACATAGTCCTATAATCCTAGTGCTGGGAAAGTAAAGATAGAAGAATACTCGCAACTCACTGCTTAGCCAACCCAGCTGAATAAGCTGTTCCAGGTTCAGTGGTTGACCTGCTCTCAAAAGTAAGGTGAAGGGGCTAGAAAGACATCTCAGTGTTTATGAGCACTGACAATTCTTCCACAGGATGAAGGTTAAATTCCCAGCACCCACATGGAGGCTCACAACCTTCTGTAACTCCAGTTCCAGGGGTTTCAACATTCTCTCTAGGCCTCTACAGACACCAGGCACATACTTGATATACAGACATAGACATATGTGCACAACAAATACCAAGCTGGCTAAATAAATGTTTGTTTAAAAATATGATAGATGAGGAGTGGTAGAAGAAGACATCCAAAGTCAACCTTTAGCTTCCACATGTGCACATGCACACACACACACACACACACACACACACACACCCACACAC